TTGTCTCCTCATTTTGGTTGTCTGTTTAGGTTTGTGACTATAGTTTAGATAGATCCTCTACACCTCTCAATCTCTAGTGCAGGACAGTGACTAATTAGATCAGGCAAAGACTCAAAGCCTCCAGAGACCCCCTCTGTCTACAGACTAATAGGATGATGACTTGAATTGCCCCCAGCCAATCATCCTCAAGTGTAGCAAGAGTTTTTTTCAACAGGGTGGGGCAGTTGCTTCTGCCTGGAGGTTAACTGTTACTTTTAATCTCTTAAGTGGCCTCAGGGCAAGGTGTTTTCCAATAGGGTGTGTCAACTGTCTTCACCCCCAGGCAAGGCAAATGTCTATGTGGGAAAGATGTCCTCCGCTGTGTGAGGGAATGACTCAGCCCAGGAAACTTGGGGTGTCTGCCTTCTGAGATCTATCCCCTGAGTCCCCAGTCCTGGCTTCTGCTCTCACAGCTCCAGTCCACTTCTCCCTCCCTGTGCTTTTCACAGCTAGATGTTGTGTGGGTACCCTCCTCAGATTTGGTGCTCTCTGCTGGGGAGTCCAGTTTGGGGATTAGATCCCAGAGTTCTCAGTGGCACCCCTGCCCCCCACAGCTGAGATATCTCTCCAGGACTTCAGTTCCTGTCTGTAGGTGCCTGGCAGTCCTTTCACACCTCTGTCCCTCCTACCAGTCTCTATACTATCTCCACCTTTGGTCCTTGGATAACAGGGCTCTCTCCTGTGAGTTTTCCATTGATTATTCAGAGAGCCTTTCCATATTTCCTATACTTACTACTTTAACTAGTGTCTGGCATTGTTTATCTTTGATACCATTTAGCAACAAAAACTCACAAACTACAGTATAGCTATGTACAATAACATGAGTGAATCTTAGTAAAACAATCTTGAGCAAAGGAAGTTAGATACATGGGCTTTATGGCTTAAAAACAAGTGAAACTAGATTAAGAATACATAGGCAGGACTTTTGGTCAAGATGGTGGTGTAAAAACAGTACTTGCATCCTTCCACAATCACATCAAAATTACAACTAAACTGCAAAACAACCATTATTCAGATCCACCTGGAACCCCTACAATTAGAGAATTAAAGAAGAAGCCACATTGAGACTGGTAGGAGGAGCAGCGGCGCGGGATGGAATGGTTTGATACCCACGTGTGGCCTTTTTTTAATTGGTAGGGATATTTTGGCTGTGAAGGTATGTGTGAGGAGCAAGGGGTCCAGCCCCACACCAGACGCCTTAGCCCAGAGTTCCAATGACAAGAAGAGAAGTCTCTGTAACTTCGGGTGTAAAAACC